GCCGCGCGTGGGCGGGGCTACGGGGCCGGCAGCCGCGGGGCACGCCGGGACGTGTAGTCCGGTGTGGGGGGAGTACCCGGCATGCTTCGCGCGGAGCCACCCCGTGAGGTGGCGGCCGGGGCCGCGGCCTTCGCCCTCTCCCTCTCTCCCTCTCTCCCTCTCCCACCCGCGTCCCGTGGCACGGGTGAGGCCTTGTGGCGCCGGAACCTTGTCGCTGCCCTCGACCGCCGCCGCTCCCGCCTCTCCGGAGCGCAGGCTCCGAGGGGCGGCAGCCGTGCCAGCCGTCGGGGAGGGCTGAGTGGGTCTGCGGCCGGCGCCCGGGCCCCTCTCGCAACAGGCGTTCGGGGAAGGGGTCGCCGGGGGGCCCTCGGGGTTGCTCTGCAGGCCTCTCAGATAGCCACGGATGAGACACGAGCGCCTTTTTCTGTGAAGCCTCGTTGAGATAATGTCTCTGCGGAGCCCATCTTTGCGCTTAGGTGTTACTGTCGAACCTTTCCGCTAAGGAAAGTGTTTCATCTGGGAGCGCGCAGTCATTCCTACTTAAGGATGCAAGAAACGCTGGTTTGCTTGACAGCCTCATGTGTACATAGTGTGTGAGGTGTTCTTACTGAGCATAGAAATAAAAGTACCTCTGACGGGACAAAGCAAGCTGTGCGTAAACCTGCTTGCTACTGCAGCGTGTTTGCACAGGCCCTCTTGACCCAATCCCTCCTCTCCGAGTTGCAACCTACAGGCACTGACGGAGGCACCGTTTCAGATGGGGCCGCAGATACCTGGTGAGATCAGCGTCGAGGCAGGTAATAGGCTGGATTTATTTTACCATCTGGTCCCAAAACATTAGAAGAGGGATTTTTCATTCTCTCACAGTTCTCCCAACTGTGGTTTTAAGAAACAATGTCAAATGCTTATATGGACCCCAAGAAAAGAATGCCAGGGATTGGCAATGCTGGGTGACCTGGGAGACCGCATTGAGGCTGAAGGGCATGGTAGAGCACCTTCCTTCTGGGGGAGTACAAAAAGCAATTAAGTTTCTTTATGGAGCATGGCAGCTGAAAGAATAAAAGCCATAAACTGGTACAGCAACCAGATGGAAAAGTTGAGCAAAATTTAACTCATAAATAATAAGAGGAGTTTCTCTTGCAACTGAAGAAAATTAAGAAGCTGAGGCACTGACTAGATTATGGTTGTATGTGAGAAGCATAAAGCTGCCAGAAAATGTAGAGCAGATGAGGGAATAAATCAGCGTGATCTCAAGAAGGAGCTTGAACTTGGAAAATATAAGCAAGGCGTTTGGCGCTTGCTGTTAGTTCCTCACAATCTTTAGCAGTGAACAGGATCATATCAAACACATCTGATTCCCTTCTCTGTTGTTCTCCCAAATATTGGCTAGTTACCTAGGCCAGAGGGGCGAGAATAAGGTCTTTAACTGCGGATGCAGCTGTATTGGAATGAAGGTGTGTTGTGGCATTAGATCCATAGATTCATTCTCCCTGAAAGAACAGCTTTACAAATCAAAGTAATTTTTATGACAGTGTAACGAGTTTGTAGCGGGGATTGGCGGCGTTTTGACTCTGCTGACTACCTGCACACAAGACCTTGATAACCATGCTTGCAAATTGTGAAAATCTTCATGTTAACTACTCAGGAAAGCTGTTACTTCATGAGAGGAGCAGTACATGCTGGCTCGTGACTTTGCAGGGCACCTCTCAGTCCTACAGGCAAAGGAAATTGGGTTGGAGGGAAGCATAACATGACATTCAGTTGGGAAAAGCAGTCTTGAAAATGAATGTTCTTGAATTGAAAAATAGTGCTTATTCCAGTACAACTCTTGATTGTGCGTGGATTTTGGTTTTGTTCCTCTTCCTCCTCAGCTCTTCCTAAGCCCTTTTCTTCTCATCCAGCTGTGATGTCTTGCCTTTCAGAGGTGCTGCAGGGCTGGAGGCCTCCTGGGCTCTGTGACTCATCTGATGCTTAATGGCGCCATAACGTGATCTGGCATGTCAGGTATCCCGTGTTTACTTTCCCCCACCAGGCCTGCTCCACCTCTCTTCTGCCCAAAGCCACCCCTCGACAGGGATTGTCATTTAATGTACATTTTGCCCAGTGGCTTCTACAGCAGAGGCCCAGCTTGGTTAGACTCTCCTCATTGTCATGGTGTCATTGCCTAAAAATAAGAGGTAACAAATCTGCTGAAGAGATAATAAAAATAAACATTGTCTTACCCATGAATAACAGCAATCTTTGGATCATAATAAATATCTAAAAAAAAGTGCATTGTGATTAAATATTGTGAAGAGCGTAAGACAGTGTTCTCCAGTGTCATATGGTACATTATACAATTCACAGCCTATATTTCATAAATTATCAGTTTATTGTGTTGACAGAGCTGCCAGAAGCCAATCCTACTCAATATAATAAAGTCTTTCCTTTTCTGATCAACATGTTTTAAATATTAAACAAGTTTAGTACACTTCAGATGATACCTTCTACCTGCCTCTGAATCTTGTCGGAGTTGCTTAGCTGCAAAGCACAAAGTGACACTCTTTTTTTGGGTCACTGTAAATAGAGAAGCGAGACACTGAGGAGTAAACATGTCACGGATTACATTGGGAAAGAGGTGATAATTTAAACCAGTGTCAGTCTGGAAATGATGATTTGACGGTAGACAGAATCCTTTAGGGAGAGGAAAACTTATCCTACCAGGGCGGCTGGGTGGGGAGCCGAGAATAAAACTCTTTTCAGAGGGTTCTTTGAAGTTAATGGTAGTGCAGCTGGGCAGGGGTGGATGAACCCCCCGACTAAGGCGGTCTGCGTACTGCTGTCTTCACAACCATTTCCTATGACAGAAGAACGTGTGCTGCCGGGCCCCCGCTTCGCACTGGCGGCTCTGTTCCTGGGGCTCTGTCTGCATGGGCTGCTGTGGAGATTCAGTCTACTTTCTGGGAATATTGAGGGATTTGGGGTGAAAACAAGCCAAAAATCTGGTTCCAAAAAAAAGTATCTAAACTCATGCATGTATAAATAAATATAAAAACAGATATATAAGCATGTACATATGTATGTATATTGTATAATACACAACAGTATATAATATAATAATATTATGTTATATACACACAGACTGCATATTCTTTTCCACCCAAAGATTGATGTTTTCAGAAGATTTTATTTACAGGGAACCCCCTCAGCAGTGCGGGGTGGAGTAAGTAAGGTCTGGCTAGAATAGATAATTGCTCTGCCATAAGCAATGGCTCTGGCCCCCTTCCAGCAAACATACATGGGTGGGCAAAAGGGTCTCTGCTTCACGTATATGATAATCCCATGGCGGGCGGGTGTCTCGTAATTCAGTTCATTGCTGTGCTTCGCATGCATGCAATCGCTCTGCAGAGGCAGCTTTCCTTTCTTTTGGGGTATATTTTATATATCGGCAAAGACAACCAGGAAGAAAAATGTTGCATTAAAATAAGAACAGAGCCTCGACTGCTTAAGCCCTTTCATTTTTATTTTTCTTTTTTTTTAAGCCTAATTCACCTTAAAGAATCTCAAAACCAACCACAAGGGAAAGATCTGTGAATTTTTGTAATGGAAAGCGGTAGCCTCTAGGGCCCAGAGGATATGCAGGGAGGCATTTTCTCTTGCTGGTGCAGCTGAGAGCGAGCGAGCGAGCGAGACCTGGAAATGAAAGTAAAGAGATCAGAAGGCACATGGAGGGAGCTGCAGGGGCAGCCGATCCAGAAGCAGAATGCTGCCTTCTATAATTAAATAGCACTTACTATTATTATTACTTCTAGTAATAATACATTAATAATATCTCTAGTAATACAATACCATTTATCAAGGAAAGTTTATACATAGTGTGGGAGGGAAAACCCAAGGAGAGGTGAGTCCTTTATTATTATTTTGGGGGGGATTATTTTTGTCTTAAACCATTTCTGTATGTGTGTGTGTTTGTGTATGTAGAAAGGGGTGGACTCGAGAAACAAGAAAATCTGGATGTTGCTTCATTAGAAAGTAAAGGTTTCAGATAGTAACTGCATGGATGAAACGTTGTGTAATTGCAAATAAAAAAAAAAGTGGTGAAAAATAATATGGGCGAGATTTTGAAGCTAACCCCCTCTTCCGCCAAAAATGTGGGGTTTGCAAAAAAATAATTGTCAGAGATCCTAATCCCACCCCCTGGAAAAAATGTGGTAGTAGTCTAGAAGTGGATAGCTAGGGGAAAAGCCCCTGGGTTTGTATGAAAAACTTAGTATTAATTGCGTTTGTGCCTGTTTGTGGTTTGTGGGTTTGAGAGCTGTGTTCAGGTCTGTATTTAGGCTGCAGTTTTCCCCCTCTTGTTTGGTATAAACCCCATGAAGCAGCAGAGGAGCCCTTGTGGAATAGCTTTCCAGATGCACCTTCCGTAGGGGCTTGTAAAGTTTATCAAATAAGAAGGTTGTGGGATTTTTTTAAATTTTCTTTTCCTCCCCCCCCCCCCCCCAATTCTTCAATGCTTTAGACAGTTTCCGGGTGGCAGGGGAGGTTTTGTTTTTTTTTTTAATCTTAAAGCCGCCTCCCAGACTCCTGGAGATGTGTGATTCTCATTTAAGCGGATGGGGGGTGGGGAAGGAGGAAGAGTATGTTGTGGTTTGTTTTCCTTTCCCCGGGGGAGCCTGGATATCTCCTGCCGCGGGAGACCCCTCCCAGCAGGACCGGGGCGGCGGGCGATGCCGGGGTGCCGGCGCCCGGCCGGGCCGCGGGGGGTGCGGGCGGCGCGGCCGGCCCCTCTCCGTCCCGGCCGGCCGAGGAGGCGCTTTTGTCCGCGGCGGCGGCTAGGCAAGGCCGGGGATCGGCGGCCTAGTGCTGGGGGTGGGGAGGAGGCGAGCGGCGGCTCCCACTCCACCCGTGTTGGGAAGAAGACCCGGGATTTAATTTTTAAAACGAGGCAGGGGAGGGCCAGCTGGGTGGGCACGAAACCAGGAGCAAGTGGCCGAGGGACGGGCAGCGTCACCCCGCCGCCTCCTCCTCCTCACTCCTCGGCTGCACTGCGGTGCCCCGCGGGCTGGGCCTGGTGGGCCGGGGCAGGAGGAGGGGTGGCCTGCAGGGCACGGAGGGGCTACGCGTGGGGTGGCCTGCAGTACAGGGGGTGTTACGTGTGGGGCACACGGCTGGAGGGAGCTGAAAATGGGGTGATGGGGGCCGGGGTGGTCTCTTGAGGCTTTGACCACCACCTCCGTCCCCCTCCCCGGGCAACTTGCGTTCGCTGCTTTTCTTTTTGGCTGGGGGTGAGGGGATTGTCGCCACCTCGCCCTGTATTCACTGGAGGTGTTGCTGGGTGAAGCCGGTGGTGCCCTGATGACGGCCATCCCGGTGTGGCTGTGGGGCAGGAGTAGGACCGGCAGGGTGCTGGGGTGTGGGAGAGCGGCCATGGAGGTACCTTGGGGTGGTGGGTGCATGGAGGGACGGGGTTGTCAGGCCCAGTGGGCCCAGCACGGTGGTGGGGACTCCCGGAGCTGTCGGCTGCGAGAAGCGTTCAAACCCAGGGAGTGGGGGCATGGCAGAGGGCAGCCACGGGAGCAAGCGGGGGCCCATGTTTGTAGTGGGCTGTGCGGCTCGTCTTCTGCTTGACGTGAGTCCGGTTACCCATCCTGCTGCACCACTGAGGTGGCCATACTGCGGCCAGTGAAAGACCATCTTACAGACTAGTGCATCCTGGAGCCTTTTGCCTGGAGGAGAGTGCATGCAGCCTGGGGCTGAGCTCCGTTCTCAGCTCTACAACCTGCCACTTGCATCTTGGTGCACTTATTTCTGGCTGAAATGTTACAGTCAAAGCCTGGAAGTCAGTCAAGTGTGAACTCATGGCCATCCCAGAAATATAGTATGAAAAACTTTGCCCAAATTCGTCTCTGGCAGGGTTGGGAATAACACCCAGGTCCTTGATAAGGTAAATTCAAGTCTTTCTGTTCATCTCATAGTGTCTCGTAGAGTGTATCTACCCAGTTTGTGATTGAGTCACTCTGTTTACTGGCTCATGCTTCCTTCTGAAGGCAAGAAAACCATTTTGCCTGTCTGCAGCATTTTATTTCTGTCTGGCAAATAGTTTGTAACTCATTGACAAACTATGAATAAAGTCCTTTCTAGATGTTGGACCAAAGAGGATAAACATCTCTGGACTGGAAGGATAAGAGCTTTGTAGTGGAGATATAAATACTCTAGATTCAAATTCTGCTGGTGATTTGAGCAGACAAGTCTGGACAGACAGATGTGGTGGGCGAAAAAAAAGAGGATGCTTAGGCACACTGCTTCATGAAATGTTTTCCACTGCGTTTCTAAAAATATTTGAAAGACTGAGAAAACAAAAGCTAAACAGGCTCTGCGCTTAAAATTAATTATGCATCAGCCATGGTATGGCGTGCAGCAGAACTGAAGTATTGCATGTATGGGTGGCTCACTGTGTGTTGGGTTTGCCAGCGTAACGAGTGTGCGGCTTGGTCCGAGGGTCAAATGGGACACCGTGGAGAGGCTGCAACGACATGGGGAGACAGAAGTGACCGAGTTTGCCAGGGACGTGGCAGGGGAGGAGGCGTGAGGAGCAAAAGGAGCCCAAATGGTAGCCTCCAGCAGTGGCGGGGCAGGCAGGACAGGGGAGAGGTCTGCCACGCATAGGGGAGGGTGCTGGTGTGGAGTCTGATGGAAAGGGAAAGGTGGTTATTCCCGAGAGATGTGAAAGAAGTTGTTAGGGCAGCAGCATGTGGTGTGCATTTTGTGGGTGTAGCCATGAGGAGATGAGTCTTATGTGCAGATTTGTGACATAAGCCTGAAGGTGTGTCGGAGCTTAACAGGAGAAGCTGGTCACCCACTTGGAAGGAGAAAGGAATGTGGGGCAGTATCAAGGAGCAACAGTCTGGAGTGGAGATCAGACCTGTGGTTTTTGTCTAAAGAAGGCAATGGAAGGTCTTAGGTTGGAGAACGTTCACTGTGGAAGATGAGGGCAGGATTGCAGAGAGTAAACAGCATGCAGGGCACAGAGGGGTTTTTTTAGGAGGGTTTTGTAGCAAGGATCAAAACTGTAGCTGGGCATTGTGGGACTTACAGAGGTGTGGTAGGTTGGTCAGCTATCCACATGGAGCAAGGATGGAGATACGTATATTGGATGCAGTGGCAATGGTGGTGAGGAGAGAAAAAACAGTAGGGGAGCTCTAGGATGCAAGAAGAGTTGGGTAGCTCTAGGAAGGAGATGTTCTGGAGCCTTTCCCTGTAGTTCTTTGGCTCCACTCCAGCTTTTGGTGGTAATGTTTGAATGCCCTTCTCTGTGGGTGAGCAAGAGTAACCAGTGCTCCTTGTAACACATGCCCACATCCTGTTGTGTAGGATGTTTTAGCAGTGGGGTCAGGGTAGCCATGAAAGCAGGTACTGATCTCTTCGCTCCCTGCAGTAGTGTTTTAAAAGCTGAGCTCAGAAGCAGAGGTTGAAGCTTCTGTGCGTATCAGAAGCTTTTCAAGGTGATGATCTGTTTTGTGGATACACATAATTGTGAAGGTGTGCCACAGCATTTTTGGAGTGCAGCCACTGACTTTGTGATGACCAGCCAGTGTCAACTGCTCTCCCCACAGTTCCCAATAATCTCCCTCTTTATCAGATCCGTGGGCTGCCGCTTCACTTCCCTGACTTTTGTTCTCTCCAGTGTGGCTCATGTCAGGGAGCAGCAAGAGCAGGGCTGCTCCTCCAGGGAGGACAAGCTAGGAGCCGAAGGCGATGATGACGGCCGCCAGCAGTGCCCTCGCTAACTAGGGTACAGTCCCACCATATCTGAACAGCGCAGGCAGAACAAGTTGCTGATAGCAGGGGTCCATTGACAGTCCCAAAGAAGATGAGGTGGTGAATCGGGTCTAGGGTTCACCCAAGGAGTCCAGCAGTAGGAGATGGTGCTAGAGACAGGACTGGAGACAAGCTGCCTACAGTGCAGGTCCAAGGTTTTTCCAGGAGAGAGGGCTGAGGACAGGTCCACCTATAGTATAGCTCAGACAAGGCAGTATGCCTGGACTTGAGCTGAAATGGAGCTCCTGGACCATGAATGGGCAGAGGGTGCGTAGGTGAGGGTCCAAGGTGAGACCCTAAGGTTTGGGGCATTTCAAGCCTGTTAGTGCACTCAGGGACCAGACAGCTAGAAATTCCTCCTTCCTCCCTGTGGTTTCCCCCATGAGCCATTGTGAAGGTCCACTTGACTCTTTTGCTCCCTGTCCCCCAGTTTATCTCTTGTGTTTATCTCTTGTCATTTCCCATGGCGGCTCTTTCCCCACCCTTGTCTCTGATGGCCCTCGCAGTTCTCCTGCAGTGGTCTAGGGTTGCTCTGTCCTCTTTCATGGCTTTCACTGCTGTCTATGTGGAAATGGTTCCTACTGCTCCTTTTCACCTTGTCTTTTTTCTCTCTCTTACTTCTTCTGTCTTTCCAGAATTTCATACAAGGAGAAGTATCAAATGAATTGCCTCTGTCTCTTATTCTACCCCTCAAGCCTCTCTGCCTGTGGTGTTGGTGATCATATAAACCTCACAATCTCCTTGTTAAATTTCCTTCTTTCTTCCTGATTGCTCATTATCCAGGCTATCTATAAATCATTCCAGGCCTTCTGTTGGTGTTGTGCTGAAGTCTACCTGCTCCGTCGCTTCTGTTAAAAGCCTTTGTAGAGATGCTGATCATCACTCACCTTGTCTGTTGGCTTTCCCTTTCTTGCTGCACTGCCCATCCCGTTCCAAATGCAGCTGCTTAAAATCTTCTACCTGGTGCTCAGACCCGATTGCTCTCAAATTTAATGTCTGATGACTTACAAACTGCACAGTGTCACTTGCAAGCTCTTGCTTTCTTCTGCTGCCACTTATTTCTGGTCTTTCTCTTGTTCCTGCTTTTCCCCCTTCCCCCAACTCTCCTTCTTGTTAAAGGGCAGGTATCAATTCTTCTACATTTTGCATGGCACAGAGCACAATCAATAAGGGCTTGCCGAGTTGTCAGGATTGATTTTCACATACCTTAAAGGTCCCTTCACCCTTTTCCAGACTGAACATGCCAGAGATACTGTAAGATACCTTAGGGATGGTCTTAATGTAAAAGGGAGCTGTGAGATAATGCTCTCCAAGCTGTTGTAGAGTTAGAGAAATTACTTTTGTTTTTCCTGTGATCTCTTCAGAGGCAATCCCAGGCTTGGAACGCACAACATCTTCAGCTCCATCTCATCTCAGTGTTTCTGTGCTTGCTGCCTTTGTCCCCAAGTTACCATTCCTCAAAAGCTGAGCATTGTTTGTGATCACAGCTGGTTGATGGCAGGGCTGGGAAATTCACTTTCCCAGCAACTCTGTTTTGCCACAAAGTGCCATCCCTTCTGCCATTTATTCTTTTCTTGTGTGGCAGACCTGTGTACCTTGGGGAAAGGTCAGGGAGCAGCCATTCTAAGCTTTGCTCCCACACTGCAGGGGATGAAGCTCAACTATCTAATGGTATGATTCAAGCCCATTTTTGTTGAGAAAAGGGACATTACTCCAAAATGGCTCCAGCATACTTATTTGTCTGTGCTCACAGAGACCCAGACTGGATTTGATCAAAGCCAGACAAGTTACTGTGCCCATTTGTGTCCCTGGCTAAGTGAGGATAACTCTCTCTTGAGCCTTCCTCAGGCACTGCCCACCCCAATTTAAAACACTGCAGGATGGGGCCCTGTTCCCTCTTCAGAGGAGCATTCCCAAGTCTGTGCTGCTCTTGCCTGCTGATTTTCAGCACAAAATTCCAATTGCATAGATTCATCGCTGTCCTTTTATGAGGACCATGGCAAGCAATTCCATCTCCTTCCTTCATGTCTCTCTGTGATATGCCTCTATTTACCTTACATAGATTACTTGTTTTGTCTGCTGTGCAGTAAACCAGTTTAAATCCAGCCCAGATAAATAGTGGTCAGAATTGCTTATCGTGGGAGGGTCTCAGCATAAATTCCTGAAATGACTGCCAGTGTAGGGGGAAATGTTGATTTAAAAATAAAAATTTTTTTTTTCCTTTCCTAGAAGGCAGTCATGATAACACTTGGTTCCCATTGCTTTGTTTACTGGCAGCCTCGCTCGAGAGCTCAAAGTGAAGTAATTCCTCTTTGCTCATGTATCCTGGCGGTGGCATGTGAGAAAAAGCAGATACTTGGTAGTGAGCTCCTTGCCGTTCTGTATCTGCAGTGTGGATAAATCACGGACTTTGGTGTTCAGGGCATCTGGTCTGGAACATTTTGTTAGTAGTAAATTCAGGCACACACAAAATACTGTGCTGCTTAATTGCCAGCAAGACCTAAAATGACTCACAATGTTTTCTTTCTTTTTCTTCTTCCTGTGCAGCAACTATAATGGAGAGACAGAAGAGAAAACAAGAAATAGAGAAAGGACTTCAGTTCATTCAGTAAGTGGACAACCTCATTGTTTCCTGTGGCTTTGGAGGTGGTTGTCTTCGTATCGAGGATTGCAGGAACTGAGTTCTTCCTATTCACTGCTTTGGGTCTGCTGCATGGGAAAGCAATATTGGTACTGACGATTTTCACTGTGATTCTTCAGGGTGCTTCTTGTCCTGCCAGCTCTCTAAACTTGAAATTCTATCATTTTAATTTCCTTGGGTCTTACCCTCTGCTGCAGTTCCAGGATGATCTTTATAGTCAGCATAATGGTAATAGTACTTGGACCTTCTACTTCATCTTCAGCCTGAAGATCTCAAAGTGCTCTCTCAGCAAGGTTATCCCACCTTTCTTAGGAAGGGAAGTAGTGTTTCTATTTTGTAGGTGGGGAAAGCAAAGTAAATGACTTGCCAGGTACCCCATATGGTGCCTATATGAGAAATAGATGACCTGGGCTCTTTTACAGTTGCCAACCTGGTAGGTGCCCGAGGTCATTCTTCTGTGAATATCGTGTGGCCTTCTAGAGCTTGAAGTAGTTGCTTATGTAGTAGTTACAAGTCCAAGTACTTCCTTATAAAGTAAAGTAGTGTTTTTTCCCTCCAGTGTTTGAGTTAGCAAAGGCCTCGGACTCAGGTCCAGGTCCTGTGGTGAGTAAGGAAGTAGCAAGATTCTAATCAGATTGGTTTGGGTTTTTTTAAGGTCTGCTTTGAGTCCTGCAGTTGTTATGGCTGAAATCTGTGCATCTACAATAGGAAAAAAAGCCAAATCTTCCATGTTACCTATTTATACCCTGTGGCATGGCAATGATATTTTCACCTGTTGTGGTTTAACCCCAGGCGATAACTAAGGACCACGCAGCCACTCACTCGCTCCCCCCACATCCAGTCAGATGGGGGGAAAGAATCGGGGAAAAAAAAGTAAAACTTGTGGGTTGAGATAAGAACGGTTTAATATAACAGAAAGGAAGAAACTAATAATGATAATAATAACAATAATAAAATGACAATAATAATAAAAGGATTGGAATATACAAAACAAGTGAAGCACAATGCAGTTGCTTACCACTCACTGACCGATGCCCAGTGAGTTCCTGAGCAGCGATCCACCCCCTGGCCAATTCCCCCCAGTTTATATACTGGGCATGATGTCACATGGTATGGAATACCCTTTTGGCCAGTTGGGGTCAGTTGTCCTGGCAATGTCCCCTCCCAACTTCTTGTGCCCCTCCAGCCTTCTTACTGGCTGGGCCTGAGAAGCTGAAAAATCCTTGACTTAGTCTAAACACTACTTAGCAACAACTGAAAACATCAGTGTGTTATCAACATTCTTCTCATGCTGAATCCAAGATTTAACACTATACCAGCTACTAGAAAGAAAATTAACTCTATCCCAGCTGAAACCAGGACATGACCCTAGTCTGAGATTAAATGGGGCTGATAACCCAGTTTCAGAGAGGCAGTTGTGAGGTTTATTTTGGTAACATTTATAAAAATGTGCAAGATTCCTGGAAAGAAAATAATGTAGAAATAACAGGGTGTTGTTCATGCTTCTGGAGTGTATCTTGAACTCTGAACCAGGGGCAGTGTCATTTGTTGGCTTGTTTTGATGTGGAAGAGGGGTACTCCAATTTTATAAGCAGAACAAATGTTTCTACATTTCCTGTAGTTAATTTTAAGGAGCAGCTGATGATTAGGTTGGATTAGATGAAATCTAAAAAATGTTTATGCTCTGACCAATAAGATCATGTATACAGTGTTATATTTCAAAGGTGGGGAGGGCTAGGAAAGGTGCTAAGGATTTCTCTAGAGCCTAGTGTTTTCTCCTTGAAGAGAAAAAATAAATACATGTGAACCAAGCCTGGATGACTCGGATGGTCTGATTTGAAGAACAGAACCTTTCTCCTAACTCTCAGTGCTGTTGTGGGGTAGGTGTTATCCACACAAGCACTGCCAGTTTTGTGGCACGACTTGGCAGCCAAGACAGCTGAGTTAAATGGCCTCCTGAACCTGCAATGTTTTCTTACTTTTGTGGTGTAGTTGTGGAGGCATGTGGCTGAGTTAATACAGAGGAAAGTGATTGCATTTATCACTCTCTCTTTGGTCTCACAGAGGACTTGAGGAGGTCTTGGAGTGCCAGTGTGGTGCCTCTCATTAGAGCTAGGTGCACTTAAAATATGCTTGTATTCTCCATGGCAATCTCTCCTGGGACTTTCTTAAAGATGTTGTGTTTTTAGGTGGCTGTCTGAAGGCATGTTACAGAGAATTGTGTTATGTGCAGAAAATAGCTGAGAATAAGATTCCTCCAGTCTGAGATGCCTTTGGGACCTGACCATCTCTTGACACCACTGTGGCCATCGCTGAGTGTAATGCTCCCTAATTGTGTTCTCTTTGCCCCGGCTGCCTTTGAAGTGATAAAATGTTCAGTAACTCACTGAGATCATCAACACAGGACCAGAAAGATGATTTCTTTATCAGACAAAAGCCCTTGTTTGCCTGGATGCCTGTTTCATGAGCCTCTTATCTTCTTTTTTTCAGGTCCACTTTACCCCTAAGCCAAGAAGATTATGAGGTAATGAAGAATTTGTTTTCTGAAGTTGGGAACCCTCTGGTTAGCAAGATTTGTTCTGTTGCACAGCCATTAGTTTACATACCAAAAGTGGAGAGCGTGGGATGGTCTGCCACAATTTGTCTGTAACTTAAAGTGTTAAGGTTCTGACAGTGACAACTTTCAGGGAAAGGAGAAGACACTTGAGTGTTCGAGAAGAAAGGAGATTTGACTGGATTATTCTCTTCTACCAAACGATTGATGTTTTATGGGAGAGTGGGGAGGCAGGAAAGTCTTGGTGGGCGGGAAGTTTGCTAAAACATATGGAAGGGAATGGGAAATTGGGAAACCCCTCGTGCCTCTGAATATCCAGTCTGTTTGCTTTCTCCTTGCTGCCCAGGCCTTTTTGCAGAAGCTGGTGAGAAACCTGTTTGCAGAGGGCAATGATTTGTTTCGAGAGAAGGATTTCAAGCTTTCACTGGTACAGTATGTAGAAGGGCTGAACGTGGCGGATTACGCAGCCTCCGACGAGGTTACCATCCCAAAGGAACTCCTGTGCAAGCTGCATGTCAACCGAGCTGCCTGCTACTTTGCTATGGTGAGTTCCTTCCCAAGTCATCCCCAGGGGCCAGGGAGGACATCATGGTCACAGTGCCATGCAGTTGGAAAAGATGTCAAGAGGGGTTTCACTTGGTTTTGTCCACGCCCTGTTCCAACACTGGAGGAGATGATGACACACAGAAAAGTCTGTTATCTCCTCATGATCACACTGTTGTCTTGCAAGACCAGAGGAAGGATGTGAAGGAGAGGGGGCCAGGCCTAGGGTACTGACAGTGCAGTTCTGGTCCATGTTGGTGAGGAGTTAGTACAATCCAGTGTCTTCCAGTCCTGACTGAGCATTTCGCTGGAATACTGTTTGAGTATTGCTCTGGAGGCTCCTGCCTCCTCAAGTGAGGCACTGGAAGACAGCGAGAAGGGTTTGGGTCTTGACGGAACTTTCAGTACACACATGGAAAATTATTCTGAAATACTCAGGCTCTAAAAGGCTGCATGCTTCCATTTTCCTAAGGAATCCAACAGCTTTACTCTATGGCACAACCCCAGAGCAGGTCCATCCTGTTCATAATGAGGCTGAGTCCCATGAACAAAATTAGCAAGCAGTCACATAATTAAAGACTGTCAAATGTAACATGCCCAAGGTAGAGGGGGAGGCAAGATAAGGTTGCTCAAGCAGCCTTAATTCTGGCATTCACTGATTTTCAAGTGTTTTGAATTTTGCAAGACTTAAGAAAATGGTCTGTTACTGTAGGCCTTGCGTGTTTGTACGCTGGTCTGTGTATGAGGTGATACATGTATGTTTAACTGCCTTTTATATTTCTGTGTTCTGCTGAGAGATGAAATGTTTGCATTCACACAGAAGGAGAGGTTAGTCTGCTGTGCCTCAGCTGACTCAAGGTGGTCTCTTCCTTGCAGGGCTTGTATGAGAAGGCACTGGAAGACAGCGAGAAGGCTTTAAGTCTTGACAAGGAGAACATCCGAGCACTCTTCCGGAAAGCCCGCTCCTTAAATGAACTTGGAAGACACAAAGAAGCATATGAGTGCAATAGCCGATGCTTGCTGTCCCTCCCACATGTAAGTTTTTGACATACAACTTTTCTTGATTTCTGTGGCTCGCCACCTTCCTCTTCCTTAATATGCTTAGTGTGAGGCTAGAAGATAGTGGAAGGGGAAGCTTGGCTGTTGCTGGAAACATGCTTATGCGCAGAAATTCTGTCTCTCTGATTTGAAGATGTTTGACCCCCTGTGTTTCTTCAGTCCAAGTCCCCCTCTACAGATAGTACTAGCCAGAGACACTGGTTAGTGAGGGCAGGTGTGGTGGCCTATTTGTGAAGAGCAAAACCCTACCCTAACAGAATGTGAACTAAAGCCATGAGATTGTTTTAATTAGCTGGTTTTATACGTCTAATGGGAGTCACTAGGAGCATGGGACAAATGGGAACTGGAGCACTGGAAGGAAAATATGTATACTCTTCCTGTTTTAGTTAAAAATGTCTCATGTTTTACTTACTGATTGCTAAGACAGGCTGATAAAGCTTTTTATTCCTTCAGGGACATGCAAAGGTGTCCTTGACATCATATTTCATAGTTATTTTTATGTTCACAGGTGTGAAAATCTTTGCATTCAGAGGGGACTATCTGCATATACTAGGCCCTATATATTTTCCTGACATTGCTTTTGTTGAGTGTCCTTTTAGGCCAAATACTGAATAGGAAACCAGACTGTGATTAGATGGATTCTAGTGAGCACTGGTTGTCCTTGCTAAATTTGGTTCTGATCCATCACAGTAATACTATTACAAGAAAAATGCATCTACATCAGCAGAAGTTAATTTTCCTTTATTATTAGTGTTACAGAAGCAATCTTTGAAAGCCTTGTTAGGGGTTAGTTATTCCTTTTGTATAGCTTGTAAATTCTAGTTTCTTTGACTTGGCAGAACAGGGTGACCAAAACATGAAAGGTATCATGTTAGGGGAGTTCCAAAGAACTGTTTTTTAAACAAACCCTTTTATAAACAAACCTATCTAATATATGTGTTCACATAAAGCCATAATTGGCTATATTTCACATTGCAGTTGAGCCACTTAATTATATGGTTAAAAAATAAATTCAGTTACATTTACATATCTCCCATTATCATCATTACAATCATTGTGGTCTACAAACACTTTATCAAACTTCTCTGTGGCAGGAAAGTTCAGCCTACAAACTCCATATCGAGTGATCTGCATTCCCTATTCTAAACAATTCAGTCTTGTAAATTAACATACCTGATTAACAGGAATCATAAGCCTTCTCTGCATCAAAGGCAAGTCATGCTATCCATCATCTCACTCTTGTTTCCATTACGCCTCTGGAGCACATGGGTACTTCCAGCTTGCATTGCTGTAACAGCTGAGAACTTTGTTGTGGTCAAAGCAGAGCATGTATTAAAACTTCCGATGATGAAGGATCTGCCGATCAGTTGACTCACTGTCTAGCAGAGTTAACTTGCTTCTGGAGGCAGATACTCAGTGCTGGTAGTTTGCAGAGGTTCCCAGCATGGGGAAGTTGATACCTCTCTGTGGTATGCTTTTTTTGGCATGGCATGGGGTGTTTTTAGGGTGTTGGAGGAGAGCATGTTGCATGCCCTTGTTGAGCATCCCCTTGTTTAGATGGGAGGTAGTAAGCACCTGAGGGTGGCATTTGGCTGAGGGAAGGGAAAGCTAAAGGAAGAACTTGTGGGTGGCAAAGAGCAAATAACCCCCCACCCCCACAACTCAGGTCTGCTGACAAGAAGGACAGTAATTAACTATGTGTTGTTGGGAAGGGAAGTGGTGGCAGTCTAGAGGGAAATACATTGTTGATCTTGTCCAGGAATCTCAGAAGACATCTCAGAGTTACATTGGCACATGGAGTTGGACAGGGTAAATCTGGTAGGTATGGGTATGAGATCAATGAAAAGAAACGATGTCAGAGGTCTTTCTGGTGAGTTTTCCCCAGGGAGCAAGACTTCAGAAGACACCTGAGAGAGTGTTTGGAAAGGCAGAATCTCCACAGGCAAACAGAGCAATGAAAACGTGGTTGGTGTTAGAAAGATCTGAGAGGTAGAAGAGAGTGAGGAAGGAGCAGTGACCATGAGATTTGACCAAGAAGAGGTCTCTGGAGGGTGTGGGGGCAGTTTCAGGAGAAGCAGGTACATCCTGAAGGGGTGTCAGGTGGGGAGAGAAGAAGAAATGGACAAGATAGAATTTGTCTTCACGTGAGTTCAGAGAAGATGGTGACAAGACCAATGTTGAGGGTGTGGGTGAGCAAGTACAGTCAAAAAGTGACACTCCAAATTGAAGGGAAAAGTTACTGATACTGTGGGCAGGAGGAACCAGAGGCTAGTGAGAGGTTGAAAGGGAAGGGATGAACTTGCAGGGAGAAGGAGGTTGGAAAGACCAGCATGGCAAGTAGAGAGAAGAGACCAAGCTTCAAGGCTGGAGATGAAGGAGGAGATGTTGTGACATTAAGGAGGGATATCACAATAGGTTGGGCAGATATTTTTTTCTTCTTTGAAGAAACTGTTAAAGCACTCCAATATTTTTGCAAACAGGGAGAGAGGAAAGCAGAAGAAAAGAGTTGCTGGTGATACATGAAGAAGGTTGTGGCAGGTTGTTAGTCCAGGCAGAACTGGGGGGGGGGGAGCAGGGGAATGGAGCATGGCCCAGAACTTTGTCTAAAGCCCACGGTGGTGTGGGAGTGGGCACGGGCAGTGAGCAGGGAGGATGGTAAATGGCACGCAGCGGGGAAAGCAGAAGGATCTGCCTGACGAAGCTAAGGCAGTTTAACGAGAGCTGGAGACAGTGAAAATGCCTTGTAGCTAGTAAGTTGGAAACTAAGACTTGGTTTCAGCTTTAAAAACAAGCAGACAAGCAAAACAGGCTAGTGAATACTGTCTGCATATCAAAACTGATTATTAACTCTGCAGCTGACAAAGAGGGAAGGCATGCAGGCTCCTTACCAGACATGGGGACCTTGTGGAAGCTGTGTCAGCCCACAGCAGCCAGCCTTGGCAGCCTCTCCAGCCACCTTGCCAGCAGGATTCATGAACCCCACTTTCAGAGAGTGGGTGCTTTCTTGGAAGCAGACATTTGATTCTGATTTTCTGCAGCATCGAGGCAGTGTAGGGGAGAGCTCCTGGTGCAACCCCAGTATCTCAGCAGGACTGAATGACAAGAGCCCTCAGGTCTGCATGGACTCTCCTAGGGCTGCTCTGGCAATTGTCCACTGGCTGCTGTCTACAAGTGAGGCTTCTTGGTGCAGTCCAGTAAGGATAACTGCATCCCTGTTTATTTCATTGTGTGTGCCACAAAGGCAAAACTGAAAGTGTCCTGCCGATGGTTTTGTCCCCAGGATGAAAGCGTCACACAACTGGGACAGGAGCTTGCCCAGAAGCTGGGACTGAGGGTTCGAAAAGCATACAAAAGACCTCAGGTACGACTTCTTTTTTCTTAGAGGCTATCCTTTGGCTCTTTCAGATTTACTTTTGCAAAAGTGGTAGGTGCTGCTCTGCAGTTACAGACACACGTACACTACCCTGCAATCCGTCTAGCAGGCGGCTGGCTACCCTCCTTGTCCTGACCCTCTGACTCGCTTTGCCTAGATCCATTTCTAACCCCGTTGCTGCTGTGTCTACTGCCAGGATGTTTCCCGAGTCCCCGGCTAAGCCAGCCAGAGCCAGGCTGGTGCTGCAGGAGAGGTCTCCAATGCACTGGGAGCCTGTGTGTTTTGGAGGAGAGGGACGTGAGGCCTGATCCCAAAGGTTTTGCATCACAGTCCTTTCCCTGTTATGGGATGAGAAGGGTGGGATCCTCTGCTGCATTGGAGGCATGGCTGGTTTTGTAGTGCGATGGGTCATTAAGGGTTCCTGCCCCATATCTAGGCGTACACCTTCTTTGTGGTGGGGAAAGGTCTGAGCTTTGGGAGAACAACAGGTACACATCTGGTCAGATGCTAGGAAAGAAGGCAGCAGAAAGCGAGTTGTGGGTCCAGTTAATTGATGCCAGTGGCTGGATCCATAACCTGGCTCTAGAGGAAAGTGCTGCTGTAACTGGAGTACTGTTGGTGTTTAAGTGTGTACTCTGGGATGGAGCTAGAGGGCGTTAGGCCACTGCCAGCACTCTTGGATAAAGCTGCCTTGGTCACATAAAATCCCAGGATGCATTTTCAGGAGTAGGGAACATTAGCTAGTAGTCGAGGCTTAGCTTTGCATTCGCATCCTTGGCCCCATGCACAGTGGTGTATTAAACAGCCAGCATGTTCCATCTCCAGAGGGGCACCTCTGCAGTATGCGGTGAAGTGATTGGTGGGCATCCAGTTTGCAGAAAGCTTTGGAGGTAAATTTGGCCATAGCATCTTATTCCTCTCCATGACCAACCTCACATGTGATTGGTATACCCCAAAAAAACGCTTGACATTGTAGCAGCTCTCAGCACTCCAAAATGATTCTGTCTCAAAGAAAGGGAAGTTTTATGCAGAAATACTTTTTGTAGCTGCTCACTGTGTTGGCCTTGCCACCTTTTTGCTGCTGTCATGTTACTCAGCTCTGATGGGCTTAAACCACCAGTATGTTAGACAACTAAAAATTAAAAACTGCAAAATGCTTTTTATTATTTGAAATTTAGTGATCAGTATTTTGATAACACCTTGCTATCTCTTGTGCTGACTTCCAGCTTTCATTCCAGTGCTGTAATGCCTTCCCAAAGTAGTAATTTCTCAATGAAAAGACAAAAACTTCTGTTCCTCGGGGAAGTTTTTTGTCTCCTGATTGTGTGTTGGATGTTGGATGTTTTGCACCGAGGTGTCCAGAACAAATATATGGCCCTTTCAGTGTTCAGAAATCTGTACCCTTGTGTCACAGTAGTATGCCTTTTGGGGCGTTTTTTATTTATGGGCAGTGCCTGGAAGGAAACTGTATTGTAACCCAGCTTTACCTAGTTTACCAGCATTCATGGGCTGTCTCTGTTCTAAGACCTCTCTCTTCCTTGCAGCAGGAATTGGAAACATTCTCGCTACTCAGTAATGGCACGTCAATCAATTTGTCAAACCAGGTAGAATTTGCATCCTGTGGTTGTTACTGTTAATGGACTGTGCTAGTAGAATGCTTTGCAGTTTTATTTACATGCAAATTTATAACTGTCTTTTAGGATTTAAATGTATTAATTAGTGTTTTCAGCTTTTAAGGAATATTGCCAAGGAAATTAATTTCTTTGAAAATATTTCTAGTGACAACGTTTTTGATGTCAGTAATTGGATCACTGAAGATGGTTATTTTTCTTAGTTATTGTGAATGTTTGTTTTCTCTTGCATTTTAAGTAAGTTTTAGTTTTCAAGTTTTTACATAGTTAGGGCAATGCTAAGTAAAAGTCAGAAAGTGCAACTGATGAAGAAACATACAAAATTAAATCATGCAATGTACTGAGAAGGTACATACACAGTTTATGCATTCTTTGTATTGTCCTGTCACCTGGGGGATCCAGCTTGGGCAGGACGCTGTACAAATACCAGGCTAAATCAGAAGAAATTGCTGATTTCCTTGTTCCAGCAGTGGGCAAAAAAACCCCCAAACACTTGCTGTTTTTACAGGCTATTTGGTACTTCACACTACTCCTTAAAGCAAACAAACTATAAAACGTAAAAATTGTCATTTTGTACAACAAGATGGGATACTAAAGAATTAGTTTACCTCCCACCGTTCAGTGACTTGCCTTCACATCTGTCTAGGAAAGCCAGTCAGTTTTCTTTAATAGTTGTGCCCAATTTTTCATTTGAAGATCTTTCCTTTTGCAAGAAAGGAAAATAGTGCAAAAACTAGAACTTGCAAAAACTATTGCAGTAGATGCAGTATCTCAAGAGTAATGCTTTGTTTGTGCCTTTTTAAGCTTAAGCTGAAGGCACACATACGTAAGTATGTGTTTATGTTTCCGTAAAATACCGGCTCATTTTATTCCGTGCCTGGAGCTCCAAGTCAGCAGTTGTCTTGGCGGAAACCTTTTCCTGTTTTGAGTTGCTGTAAAAGTTTGTGGTTGTTAGATTGCAAAACATGTGAAGTAAGAAAAGGAACGTTGTGTAAGATCAGGCTAATCGGATCTCACACTGCATGGGGCTGACCGATTGATGTCTTGGGACTTGGGACACAGCGTTCTCATCCACACATGAAAAACCCTATTCTATGTACAGATTTGCTCACATGGTTGTGTATTGTGCAGGGCTGATACTCCTTTGCAGCAACAGGGTTTGTCCACTGCTGGAGGTAAAAATGAATAGGTTCTTTGAATTAATGGCCTCTTAAAGTTCGTTGGTTTTACTGCTCTTGCACTGAAAGAGGCCATAAAGGAAAAGAAAGGGCCAGATGCATTTAGAAGTAGTAGAGTCTCATCTGTGAAGTGTGAATATCTTTTTAAAGATTAATTTCTGGTGATATTTTTCTCTCCCCTTTTCTACACCCTCTTTGCAGACCACTTCCAATGGATTGGGTTCGATAGATGACATCGAAACAGGTAAAGACATGTCTCTTCTCTGATTTTTCTGGCTTCGGTAAGGTATCTGACCAGGCTGAGAGGTTCACTGTCTTCATTTGTGTCTCTTCTGCGCACTCCTGGCTTTGGTAACTAGGAGGAGGAAAAGGTGGTGGGAAGCAGGAGTGTTTGTCCTGCAGAAAGGCTTTTTGTCCAGGCCCAGTGAGAGACGTCTGGGAATTAAAACGGTCTGCCGAGGTACACAGATCTCTCCAGTTGTGCTTTCTTAAAGCTGGGCTTGGCAAAGCTTCTGAAACTCTGCTCCTAGCCAAAACAGTCCAGATAAAGTGAAGTTAAGGTTGTAGGTGGCTGTTTGTGCTCTAAGCCCGTATAGTCCTCCAAGGCATTGAGGTGGAGGAAATGAAAACAAAGGGAGCTGGGAGGGACCCAGGGAGAGCCGTGTTCAGGGCTAGGCACCCAGGAGGAGCAGAAGGAGGGCTACGGGGTTGCTTTTCTCATGCTAGGAAACAAGTGACCTTAACTCTGCCCCTGTAGAAAAGTTTGCTATGTGCTTTGCCCTTTGCTGTGTGCTGGAGCATTGAACTCATGCCTCTGAGCACATTAGTCTTTGTTCCTTTGAAAGGTAGCTCTATGTGTGTGTGCGCGCGCGAAGGTAAGTGTGAAGACTTACCGCTGCAAGTAGCGATTGCTCTTTTTATAGAAAGAAACTAATTTCATTATTAGGATGCTTTGGAAAACATGTTAGTTCTCTGTTGAATGCCACTTCAGTAACTGAATGCTATGTGCAATCATAAGACCCAGTTCTGTGAATTAAGGAGAGTTTTTCACATTATCTTGCTGTGCTAAAATGAACTGGACTCCTGCTGCAAAGTAAAGAGCGACTGCATCCAGTAAGCTATTTTATCTAACCAGGATTTGGTGTAAGACCAGCATGCCACCTTTGCTGCATTTCAGGCAGAGAGAACCTTTACTGCTAGGAAATCTTTTCAAAACCACCGAAATTACATGTTATCCCTTTGGCGTCAGAGTGATATGCCACCAGGAGGGCTGTGGGTGCTAGGTAGCTCAAGAGTTTCAGATTCAAAGCATTTTTAGCAAGGGTATTTTTTAGTTGTTTTGTTTTTAAGATGCAAAATCCTGAAGCCCCTTTCCCCATGATTTGCTTGAAGTCATCTGATTAACTCAGCCCTGCCCTGCACAGATCATGGCTAGATCTGGCTCAGTATGCCCTTTGGCCAGCTAACGCACTAGGGAACCACTGCTATTTTGGGAAGCAGAGCTAGAAAAAGGGCTTTTAAAAGCACTGTACTCACCCCTCTGGGACAGGCAGGTGTATGGCCAGAGAAGCTACCAGGTAGGGGGCATGGTATGAGAGACTTGGTTCGGGGGAACAGATGGAAAAGACCCTCATTGAGCTTATAGTAATAATAGGTGGGGCTTAGTGTTGTGGCAGTGGCAGGAATCAGAGGGAGGCAGGTGTGTGCCTGTGATTTGCTCGTCAGAGATGACTTTTACTTTTTTAAAATGGCGCAAACATTAGGTGAATGCCGAAGGTGCATGAGCTTTCTGGAAGGAGAGTACATGAGATATGGGTATGGTGGCTGGTGAGTGAGGTCAGCAGATGGGGTGTCCTGAGGAAAACAGGAATGGGAAAGGAGGGATAGGGGAAAAGACTGGACAGAGGGGAATGGGAGGAACTGGCTGAAGGAATGACAGGGTTTGGGTGGTCAGGGAGAGGGGAGCAGACATCTTCCCTCTGCCCCTTGGAAGTAGTGGAGCCCGTTGGTCCCTGCTCTCTTCTCGCCCTTCACATGCACTGAGCTGTGGGGGATCCTGTATTGTTCTCTGCCTTTTGATTGAGCGTTAGCTTTTCTGGGTTTTGGGGCTCTTAGGGTGTGTGAGGGCCTCTTTCCTCTGCTTCCCCGAGTGGGAACCAGGGGGCCTGGTTCATTCCTCAGAGAAGGCCTGAACTTCTGGATCCTTCGGGGCCCTGCCATTGTGAACCCTTTTGGTGTCCCCCCACATGTGTCCCTGGCCCTTCCAGTGTGTCCTGAACTTCTTGTTGGCCCCTGGAGGGATCTTGACAGTACTCCAGATTTAAACATCTGAAAAACGGGAAGGCACAAGCCATCCCTTTGTACTGAAGGAAGTCCGGCTGAGCTGCCAGTGATGAGGCCAGCACCGAGGGAAGGTGGATGGCTGGCTCCCGAGTGCGGCTGGGGGGCCCACGCAAAAGGGACGTGAGCTGAGAGAAGTTGTCGCAGAGGGGGCAAGGGGTTGGAGCTGAGCCTGATCTGAGGGACAACTGCAAAACTAAGGACGTTTACAGCCTTCCTTTGAGCCACTGCCTGTGGGGAATGTGTCCAGCTGCACCATTGAAAACCTGTGTTGGATCCCATAAGGTACTACATGCGCTTTCCTTTGATTGCATGCATGAGGTTGTGGAGAGGGACCTGTGTCTGCCCCTTGCAGCTTCCCCGTGCTTTCCTTGCCTTTTGTCACAGCTTGGCCTCCGGTGCCTTGCACAGCAACCTCGGCTGTGGTCCATCCGTGTGGACCGCTCACAACAAATGCCAGAGGAAAGGTTGCAGGGGGTGGTTCTGTGCTCCTGGTGGGGTTAGAAGTAAGGTAGCCTGCATGTGTGCGTCGTCTCTGCTGTTGTTTTGTTCAGGACTTGGGGGTCTGCAGGAATCGCTGAATTGCTGAGCTCTCTAAGGGCACCAACACCGTCCTTGGTCAGTGAACGTGCGCTGTAGAGGATAGCAACATGGCTCACTCGCCCAGTCCCAGTTACAAAGGGATGGCTGAGTTCTTGTGGAGGCTGAGTGAGCAGAGCTTGTATAGGCAGGATGCAGCATTTCTCACTGGATCAAGATTCATGTCTCGGAAGCTTGTCTGGTTTCTTTCCCATTCTTATCAGTCTTTCTCATAAAAGCTGTTGTCTGTTCTTCCAAATTTTGCCTTGCTTATAGCCTTAGACCGTTGTAGCTACGCTGCAGCCACAGCTATGTGGGTGGAGAAGGTAGCATCTTTGTCTTATTTCTTTTCTTTTATTCTAGGACATCTGCACAGGGGCAGAATTAAGGTAGTTTGGGTGCTTGGTTTGAGAACTGCAAATGTAATGCTTCATTTTCCAAATTTCTAACATTTAAATTTTTTTTTTTTTAACCTTTAATTTTTTTTAGAATAAAATGCTCTTCTGTGAAGAATATGTGCTTGTAACCTTAACTTCACTTAACAGAGGTTTATATTGCATGATGGGAACGTCTTACCATTTCAGTAGTGTACTGGAGAGGCAAGGAAGCCTTAGGGAAAATCACTGCCTCTCTCCTGCCCTGACCCTGGCTCACACAAGTTCCCAAGGGGATGTTTGCTGCTGAGGTGTTGAGGGGGAGTGTGAGCAGCAATCTCCCACCTGTGGACATCAGGAAGCAGTCAAGAGCAGGGAATTTACTTGGGTAAAGACAGCTGAGTGAGTCTGATGGAGTTTTTGGGGAACACATTGTTAGCACAGCCTGGTCTAAGCACCCAATCTCTGACTCTCTTCTCAGCAGGACATTGTGTGGTTTTGTCTTCTGCCATTTAGGATGCCTGAGGTTTTAGAGAGGGTGTGCAAGTAAGCAAGCTTTCAGCTGGGATATCGAAGCTCCAAGGAGTAGAGAAGACAGTGATCTCTGCAAATGCATTAGTGAGGAACATTAAAGAAAACACCAGGTGGTGGGTTATAGAGAAATCAGATTATGTGCCCCTGGCTTTTAGTCCTGGCTGCAGTGAATTCAGTAACTGCTCAGCCACAGTTTTCTTGTTTTTCCTGGTTACTGTACATGCTTGCCAAATCTTGACAGTCTGGGCGCTGGCCCTTAGAGCATATTTCAGCTATTGGTGAGCCATTGGAGACTGGGAACAAAAATGAAAGGGCAAGAACTCTTCAGACCAGAGCCCCTCCTCTCAGAAAATTGGCATAGTTGTTTTTTGTGATTTGACGGAGTTGTACAATGTTGGTTTTGCCAGTCTGTGCTCTGCTTGCCCCCTGCAAGAGGCTCTCCTGGGTGACTGGCTCTGTTTCTCCCTCATCACAGACTGCTCTATGGACCTGCAGTGCCTCCCAGCTCCCGTGGTCACCTCCATCCCTGTGAGCGAGGGGCTGGCCCCTTTGCCCTCTGACTCAGATGCAAAGGGCTTGCCTACCTCGCTCCCTGCTGCCAGCTTGCTCCCGTCTCCAGACTGCGTGTCCCTGCCAGTGCCTGAGAGCGTGGAGGACTTCACAGATGGGGACATCATTGGGGAAGAACTGGATTCCCTCCTGGACTCCCTTGCCGAAGGGTCACCATACCCTCTAGTAAGAGTGGGCGCTGCATGAGTCCCCTGCTTCTTGTTCCAAATAGGTCCTTGCAGCATGTGGATATGCATGCTGTCTCTCTCTCTCTCTTTCTGTCACTCTTTCCTCCTAGCTCTTCCTCTGGCAAAACTCATTCATTCCTTACTTTATTTCTGCAACTGGCTTGTGAGTATCTAAAGAGCTTGCCTCCAAGCCTGCTTTGCTGTGTGCAACTTCAGGGAGCTGCGCCTCAAAAGGTACCCAAGATAGTCTTCCCCCAACCATCACCTTCCCCCTGGCCTCTGGTCTCCATGGAGTTGAAGCAGGCCTGAGGGTAGAAATGAGTGTTCTGAAGCAGGAATGGTGGATGTATTTTATACAGTGGGCATGCTCTAATCTCCTTGTATTTTGTGCAGGCTGCATTCAGCCTAAGCTCTTTGAACAGGTCTGGGAGCTGTAAAGACAATCTGTATTAATACTTACGTTGGATATTAGTTGCCAGTGTTGCTGATGTTATGTGAGCCAACCTGGGTCTGGAAGCAATATAATCATATTGATGCAGGACACCTCTCGAGCCAAAAAGCTCTGATGAGAGGTACCACAACTAATGGTCGTTACCCTAACCTCAGCGCTGTGTGTACTCAGCTGCACTGTTTCTTGACTTGGGCTGGTTTAAGTGCCCAGCGCAGTGCTCTGCCTTGCAGACCGATGAACTTAGGTAGCCCAACACCTCCTCAGGGACCTCGGTCCAGACTGTGTGTGGTTGTAGATAGATTGGAAGGTCTGTGGGAAGTCTGCAGGCGGATTGAGCTGCCAGGTATCCTTTTGCTTCAGATGATACAGCATGCACTTGAGTGGGAGCCTGTTACCCTCTGTTCACCCATTCTCTGCCCCTCATTCCTAATGTGCTGTTTATCCTCCCTCTTCCCGGTTCCCCAAAGTCTTTGGTCCAGGGCACCATTCCTACCAACCTGCCAACGGAGATGCCCCAGCTGATCCCTGTGTTTCCGGGGGGAACTCCACTGCTGCCCCCAGTCGTGACAGCCAGCATCCCTGTCTCCACCCCACTGCCACCTGCCTCCTTCGGCCTGGTGATGGATCCCACCAAGCAGCTCTCCTCCTCCTCTGTCCTGGATGCCTTCGAGGCTCCACCGGGAGGAAGTGGCGGCTCCACCTTAGATTCGCTGGATTCCCTGGATCTGCTCCCCTACACAGATTCACGGCTCGATGCCCTGGACTCCTTTGGGACAAGCAGAGGGTCACTGGATGCCTTGGATTCCTTTGCCATTGGTAGGTGTGGGACTGATGGGGTTTTGTGCTGCTTTAGCTGTGAATGCATGCCAAAACTATTTCCTTCAGTGCTGAGGGAGTTTGCCATATAGCTCTGCTGGTGCCGCAGAACAGGAGTATAAATGTAGAAGAGGGCAGGGAGTTGTCTTGGACAGAGCAACTGAATATGTCTAGCTCAGGAGTAGTGAGAAAGGCTATAAGTGTGTAATCCCAGATAACCAGTGTGTGCATGGTGTGAAATCTCAAGAGGAGAGAGGAACGCAAAGGTGTATAATGATAAGTGATGAGATTTAAACCTGGCTTGGTGTTCAGGACACCTCCCTTGGCACAATTGCTAGACTATAACATGATTCTTCCACCCTCGACAATGACTCTTTGACATTTTGGACCAAATGAGCAAAATCCTAGTGACTATTTCAGATCGTACAGGACCTTGCTGTGCTGGGCAGAATGGTAGAGGCCAAGGTGGGTCTCTCCTATCTCTGGATTCAGGTCATCAAGTGTCCTGTTGCATGGGGCACTGCACTCTCACGTCACAAGGAGCAAAGCTGTGGAGGATGGTGGGGAAAGAGTAAGTCCCCTCCTGTCCTAGGAGGGAAGGCAGGCTGCTTCTTGGCTAACTTGTCCCCACTATTGCAGTATGTTGGCAGCAAAAGTATTTTGAGAAGACCAGAGACTGACCAGTCAGCACTTCAGTACTCGGATTCACCTCAGCATTGGGCTATCTTGAGTTGCCGCCTTGGGAATGCCAGTGTTCAGCAGCATAGGGTTGGGTTCAGTAGGGTTTGGGGCACAAGAAGGCCTTTCCTGGAGTTTTTCCAAGACTTAGACAGGTGGTTTGGGGAAGAAGTATTAAAATGTTATGAAATAAATAAAGCAAATAGATTTAATAAGCATTTGTTTGTCTTTTTGTGAGCAGAACTACCTCTGAAAGTGAAATGATTGTTTTTGTTTTGTGGGGCTCTTTTCCCCTTCTTTTGCCCAGAAGAAACTAGCCCTCAGGAACTGCGACACCCACCTGGCAGCCAAAAACCATCCCCTGTGGTGAGTGAGCCGCTCCCCCGTGCTGATGTCCCAAGGTGCTCTGGAGCCAAGGTAGTAGTGACTTGGGTGATGTAGGTAATTTGGGCCCCTCTTCTTAACCTGCCCCAGTGAGTGTTGCCTCCCATGCTGTGGCAAAGCAGGTAAAGATTTCCCCAGAGTCAGCAGGAAGACATTTGTTGCATGTTCATTTTTATCTGCAACTCTGCATATTGCCAAAGTAAACATGGTGTAACTTAGGGTCAACAGGGGATCATGGAGGCCAGTGTCCCACTATATCTGGCAACCACATAACACTGAAGGATGGGGTGGAGGAAGCCAGCTTTGTCTTAAAACTAGTGAGGTTCTTTGCTCCTCTCTGCCCCTCTCAGGAGGCTTTTCCAGATACACTGTCCTGCCCCTGTCCCATGTCTCCAGTCTTGGAGGAAAAGGGGAGGATTATCTATGGTTAGCAAGCTTGGAACAAGAATTATTCTTAAGTTTCTGGCATCCTGCTATCCCTGTTACTTCAGTGCAGACCCAAGTCTCTGTCCTCAGATTAATCTGCTCCCTAAAGACTCACTGATAAGTGGTTTGGGTTTTTTTCCAGGTTGGGACGGGGTTGATTTGAGAGTCTTCAGATTCAGAATTGGTCATGATAGAAGGAATGGGAAGGAGTGAGGGGGGCATTTTTTTCTGTGGCTCATGATAGAAAACTGAGGTCCCCTACCAAGAGAGAAAGAGGCCAGTCTTTGAAGTGAACGTACCATGCTCTTTGTTATCTTTGAAAAGGTTGCATGCAGCTCTTTTGGAGGTGTAGTTTCAGATGTGAACATTTTGATGAGAGAGAAAATGAGGAAGGTTTTTGAGAGACTGGAATGGGGCAAGGGATTAGAGAAGTTTCTTACCCATATGGTTGCAGAGCTGAGAGGAGAGGTACGTGTGTTTTTGCTCAGGTCAGCCTTGGTGGAGTGAGTCATTCAGCTGTGCCCAAGGTCACCGAGCACCTGCTGTCCCAGCCAGAACCAGTAATGCCCAACACAGCCCTGCTGGTGAAGAACCCCCTGGCATCTACTCACGTCTTCAAACAAGCCTGTCATATCTGCTACCCCAAAACAGGTGATGCGTTTGCTCTGCCACCCAGAGCGCTGGCCCAGGCAAGGGTTTGCTTTTTCCCGGGCTGATGGGGTTATTCTATCCTGCAGGGCCCAAGGCTGGCGATTATACCTATCGGGAAGGCTTGGAGCACAAGTGCAAGCGGGACATCCTGCTGGGCAGGCTGAAGAACTCAGAAGACAAGACCTGGAAGAGGATCCGTCCTCGCCCAACCAAAACCAACTTTGTAGGATCCTATTACCTGTGCAAAGGTGATCTGGAGGGGATAGTGCTGTCGGTGGCTGGGAAGGGGCTGTACAGTGCATGCCAGGGGAGGTTGGGAGGGGACTTCCAGTTGGTATCACCTGCTGTCTTTGGGGTCTTCCTGTCCCATCAGCAGCCCATGGACTGGGAGGCTCAGTACAATGAAAGGCAATGAGCTCCCATGCTGTGGAGAGCAGGCAGCTTTTAAAGTGGTGGAGCAGAAGAGTTGCAAAGGCATAGTGAGGTGCTGTGCACAGCCAAGTGCTCAGAGCTGCCCTGTTGATATGGGCTTTGCTGAGAACCTGCCTCCTGTCCATGTGCCTGCAGCATTAGTCCCACTTCACCCAGCAGCCCCATGGCAGGACTGTGGTTCTGCCTAGGGAGAAGCTCTCTCTGCCTGCTCCTTTGCTCCAGCCCATCCCTCCGCAATGTGACCGGAATGGTCCCTGTGGCAGTGTCATGACAAAGTACCTAGTGAAGTGGGGAGATTGCAAGAGCCAAGATAACAGAGCTCCTTAGTGCTGGGCCACTAAGGCAACTTAATCTGGATTGGCTTCAAAAGGGGTTGGTTAAATCGTGGTCTGTCCCTGGCCAGGCACTGAATTAATGCAGGCCTCCATTTTGAGATGGTTTCCACAACAGATAGCATTATTTGAGATTGTCACCATTCAGTAGTTTGCATTAGCTTTCCTGAATGTCTTGGTATAGGCAAACCTGGGGGGAGATGTCTTCTCTTTTTTCTTTAACTCTGTGTTTTCTTGCTTTCAGCTCCTTGTGAGGTGTGGGCAGTGGGAGGAGACAAGAGAGAGTTTAGTTTCTGACTGGGCCGCCCTCCCTGTGTGGTGGTGTGTGCTGTTTGTTGCTTTGTAGATATGCTTAACAAGCAGGACTGTAAGTACGGGGATAACTGCACCTTCGCGTACCACCAGGAAGAGATCGACGTGTGGACGGAGGAGAGGAAGGGGACCCTCAACCGTGACCTCCTCTTTGACCCGCTAGGTGGGATCAAGCAGAGTAGCCTCACCATTGCCAAGCTCCTCAAGGAACATCAGGGCATCTTCACCTTCCTCTGTGAGGTACAGAGCTGGCGGGAGGGAGCAGGCACTCTTCATTGTCTTCTCAGTGTGTATCTGGACCATTGATATGTTGATAGTTGCCATCACAGAAACATGGTGGGATGACTCGCACAACTGGAGTGCTGCAATGGATGGCTATAAACTCTTCAGAAGGGATAGGCAAGGACAGAGAGGTGATGGAGTAGCCCTATATGTTAGGAAGTGTTTTGACTGTCTAGAGCTTAATGATGGTGATGGTAGAGTTGAGTGTTTATGGGTGAGAATCAGGGGGAAAGCCAACAAGGCAGATATCATGGTGAGAGTCTGTTATAGACCACCCAACCAGGATGAAGAGGCAGATGAAATATTCTATAAGCAGCTGGGAGAAGTCTCACAATCACTAGCCCTTGTTCTTGTGGGAGACTTCAACTTGCCACATGTCTGCTGGAAATACAATACAGTGGAAAGGAAACAGTCTAGAAGGTTCCTGGAGCGTGTGGAAGATAACTTCCTGACACAGCTGGTGAGTGAGCCAGCTAGGGAGGGTGCCCTGCTGGTCCTGTTTGTGAACAGAGAAGGACTTGTGGGTGATGTGGTGGTTGGAGGCCATCTTGGGCATAGTGATTATGAAATGGTAGAGTTTTCGATTCTTGGAGAAGTAAGGACAGGGGTCAGCAGAGCTGCCACCTTGGACTTCAGAGGGCAGACTTTGGCCTGTTCAGGAGCCTGGTTGACAGAGCCCCTTGGGAGGCAGTCCTGAAGGGCAGAGGAGTCCAGGAAGGCTGGATGTTCTTCAAGAAGGAAATCTCAAAGGTGCAAGAGCAGACTGTCCCCATGTGCTGAAAGATGAGGTGGTGGGGAAGGAGACCAGCCTAGCTGAACAGAGAGCTTTGGCTGGAACTCAGGAAAAAAAGGAGAGTTTATGACCTTTGGAAGAAGGGGCAGAAAACTCAGGAGGACTACATGGATGTTGTGAGGGTACGCAGGGAGAAAATTAGAAAGGCCAAAGCCCAACTAGAACTTAATCTGGCTACTGCTGTAAAAGACAATAAAAAATGTTCCTATAAAGACATTACCAACAAAAGGAGCACTAAGGAGAATCTCCATCCTTTAGTGGATGCAGAGGGAAGCATAGTGACAAAGACTGAGGAAGAGGCTGAGGTACTTAATGCCTTTTTTGCCTCAGTCTTTAATAGTAAGACCAGTTGTTCTCGGGGTACCCAG